AAGACAGAAAGGAAGGAAGGGAATAAAGCCTCAAAGCAAACTTAGTTCTTAAAGCCTTATGACATTCTTGTTATTCCTGCAGAGCCTGTCGTCTGAAAAACCCACATTGCCAATGACATGAAACTTAAAAGGACCAAGAAAGAGACAACTTCCTGAGATCTAGGGTACAGTTCTAGAAGTTCAGGTATTTTATTCTCCACAAATGAGAACCTGAAATGTTATTCATTCTGCATTTTCCCCAGAGATTTATTTGGCTCTGGAGGAGAACTATACTATATGCTTAAAATGATTGGTATTAATATTGACTTTCACACAGGTGAGAAGTTTGAGATATAATAGGGAAGGGCTGGCTTGCTTCACACGCTGCAGGCATTATATTTGCTATTGTTTTCGTGTGAGAGATGTTTGATGCAGAATGCAAATCACCAAAATATAATATGGGAGAATGTTTCAAGCCAATTTTGAACATATGCTATGGTACCTGTTGAAACTATTTAAGTTTGAGAATGACAGAAGAAAGAAAGCTATTCCAAAAATAGTGTCTGTGCATATCAAATTTAGGCAAATTTAGTTCTACCAGTGACTAATCTATTCATAGAAGTTGCCTAGAAACTCTGAAACTATTATCTTTTACATAGTCATTCCAATGAAAAAAAAAAAGAGAGGAAAATGGTTGGTACTACACAGAATGGAATGCTGGCTCTACAGAAAGCAAATTTTTAATTTGAAGGCTATGAATGGGCAATTTTTAAAAATTTTTGGAATAAATGAGATTTATGGAAATAGCAAAATCCTTTTTTTGAGTTTATGATCTATAGCGGCAGCCCTATGGCTCTTATGTACTTAAAAAAAAATCTATTGGAGTAACTAGTTTCTTTACACTTTTCTCTGCTTAAAACTAAGAACAGTTCTTTTTTTTCCTGGTAAAAGAAACCTGGAAAATGATTCTTTGGTTGTATATTTATTTTGATGTAAAGACTTGCCATGACTAGATGACAAAACAAGGCAATTATTTCACATTCCCATATTAAAGACATAAAATTTTGCTTTATGTTGCCAAAAAAGACCCATAGCACCATAACAGCTGACCATGGCTTCTGTAGTTAAGGCTTGAATAATGAAAGGCGGGTGAACACATATCTGAGGAAAAGTTACTTTTGTTTTGTTTTTTTTTTAATCTGCTCTTTGCAGGTAGAGACCTTTAGGGAACTTTACCTAAATTTATTATGCTTTTTATTTGATTGCATTGTGTTTGGACATATAATTGCTTTTTCAAATAGCACTCAGCAAATGTATTTTAAACATTCAGCTCTAAATATGTGTTGAAAACTGGAACTATAGGGAAGAATGCTTTGCTTTTGACTTTTCTCCACATTTCTTTCTCCTTTTCAATTGCTGACAAATTACCTGATGTACAGAACATTTTCTAGTGTTTCTTCTTGGCATTATAAAAATGGAAGAATTAATTTATTCCTGTCCAATACGAGCTAATATAAACCTTGAAGTCACTCTGCTCACGGATGAGTTCTGCTCTGGGTATGAGAACCATCCCGCGACCTGGGGAGCAATTTATAATCTGGACCCAACAGACAAAGAGTAGTAATAACAATAAGACATTAGTATAGTGCTTGGGACTTTTCACAGTTTTTCCTCTTGTGTGACTTTTTATTCTCACAACGACTTGTGTGGATTAGGTTGGACATACGGTGAACATGAAAATGTTTAAACGCTTTAGGTTGTACACATATGCAGTCACTAGTGTAAATGGGACTTTTGGATCTAAGTGAGTATATGGACTTGGCTAGAACACAGGGAAAAGAGCAGAAACGCTAATACATGCCAAGCAAACACACATGCTGGCACTCAGGCACGCAGACACTCAGAAGATCTCTCATGTGATTTGCAATCTTGCCGTGCCCCTCCTCAACTCGAAGTTTGTATACATCCATTCCTATATTTGTATTTCTGTGGTAAGTGAATTATCGTTTCCACTATTCTTCTTAATTCTTTGCCGTTTGTCTCCTTGCTTTTCGCCATTTGACTAGAGACAGAGCGTGTTCGCCTGCCCTAATGAGGCGGGGTTTGGCCATGAGATTGGCTTTGGCAAATGTCAGCAGGTGGAAGTTAGTTACAGTGTGCTGCTTCTGCCCACCAGCCTTAGAAGCCATTGCATGTTACGTGTTACAGCCAGCCCCTGTTGTTCTTCTGGTCTTGCATAACCTGTTGGTCCAAGGAGAATAAAAGATGAGTGGAGCATAACGGGATCCAACCTGAAGCTTGGAGCCAGCCCAGCTGAGCTCCGTCTAGATCAGTTAATTCCCAGATAACCCACAAATATGTGTGACAGAATGTCGATGGCCGTTTTAGGTGTCTACATTGTGAGTGGCTTGTTTTGTAGCCTTATTGTGGTTGCACCTGCTAACGGACATCCTATGTATTATCAGCAGTCATGAAACATTTTCTAATCCATCTAGGATTGTGATATAAAAACGTATTTTGCTCTCTCTGTTCCTGGGATACAGTACATAAAAGTAGTCTCTTGGACTCAAAATGAGTTCAATAATATTTATTGTTACATAAAGAACAGCGATGTTAAGATTATTAAGATCTTGCTGTCGTGATTTAATCATACTGGGCTGACCTTCAGTATTCTTCTTCATAAACTGGAGATGATAATACCTCTTAATTCTGCCTCTTGGAATTCATTTGTCCATTTACTCGCTTAATCAATTAATAGTTATTGAGAACCTACTTCTTTTTAGAATACACAGTGATGAATAAGATCAAGCCCCTGATGACAAATGTTTCTAATCTACTAGGTACTATAGAAACAAAAGGTAATTTTCATATAATGAACATTATAATGAAGTTAAGTTCTTAGTAATATAGGTATGCAGTGGAAAGTATGTAAGGTAAAAGAAGCATTATTTGAGGTGACTCTCCAAGGATCAGGAAAAGGGGAGGGGAAACACGGTTACATTCTCATAAGCTTAATAAATACAAACAGAAAAAATAACTTTACACTAGATAAAGCTGTCAGGTACAAATCAAGTGACCAAAGTTAATATAACCAATAATTGACAAATAAACTTCTTCCACCTCCTAATATGAAGCACTGAGAAGAACATAGTATTACTTATGTGGTATTTTTTGCTAAAAAAAAAAAAATGCATAACCTGTATCTAATCATGGGGAAAATAGAAGACAGATCTAAACTGATGCATATTCCACAAAATAACAGTCCTGCACCCTTCAAAAATGTCAGTGATGTAGAAAACAAAGCAACACTGAGGAATGGTTCCAGATTAGAGACTAAAGAAACACCACAACTGAATGCATTTGCTCTATAGGACATTCTTGGGACAATTTACAAAATCTGAATAATGTCTGTAGGGTATATAATAATGTTGTGCCAATGTTAATTTCTATTTTGATGACTGTATTGTGATAAGGAAAAAAAAGCCCTTGCTTTGAAATCAACACTGAAGTAATTAAGAGAAAATAGGTAAAAGTGTGTGTGTGTGTGTGTGTGTGNATAGGTAAAAGTGTGTGTGTGTGTGTGTGTGTGTGTGAGAGAGAGAGAGAGAGAGAGAGAGAGAGAGAGAGAGAGAGAGAGAAACGGACAAAGCAAATGTAGTAAAGTAATATTTGAGGAATATGGGTGAATACTATATGGGAATTATTTGTATAATTCTTTCAACTTTTACATAAGTCTAAAATTATGTCTACTAAATAATAATTAAAACAACACAAGACAAAAGAATGAAAGGGTTTATCCTGGCCTACAGTAATGGCAGAACTGAAAGCACTGGAAATAGTACAACTCAAATCATTGGGTCTTTGCCCAAGATTGGCATGACCAATGGGTCTTTCTTTTCTGCATTTTAGATGCAGCATATGACTGTAGAATTAGAATTCTGACTTTCCAACATAAGAGTAGATCTCATAAAATCACAATAAACTCTCTGGATTATACACAGTGTCAATTTTCTGGTTTGATAATGTCATACCAATTATGACATATGTCAAATATTACTAAGTGAGGAGTACATGAGACCTCCTGTACATTTATTTGCAACTTCCTGTGAATCCATAATTATTTCAAAATAAAGTACTTTTTTATTGCCTTAGTAAACTCTTCTCAAAAAAAAATAAAACATATATTTTTTCAATCTTATATTGATGTGAGTGACCCCATATGCTGAGATTTTTACCTCTAAACATGACTAAGAATTTTCAAATTTATGTTAACAAACACTTGTAGCACTTATTAAATTTAGCATAAAATTTCCAATGATTTCCCTAATATCCCTTTTTAAGGTGACAAAGATTTTCTTTTTGACCAAACTCTAGCCAGGCTCCTCTAAACTCTCCTTCTTGACTAGCCCTCAGCCTTGTCCTAGAAAGGCTTGAACAAAACACTAACATAGTTTCTAAAAGCTCAAGTCCACCTCCCTATGATGACGGTAAGCCCTCCTTAAAAGTGCCTGCCTAAGAAAACTCAAAACTGCTTAAAGAATTTACTGTTTGTTCCGGCTAACACCTGAAGATAGGGCCCTTGTCTCCCAGTCTCCAACGGGGAGTAGGAGGCTAATTCCCACAAGTGCCACTCAGCAAACCCAGATAGGTTTCACGTGCACCAATCTTTCTTCTTGCTTTTTGTAATTTCTCACATCCCTGACTTTGCTCTAGGCTCTGATTGTCCCCCTCCTAAGTCCCTCATTTTCCTTTTAAAACTCACAGTCGCCTTTGTACAAATCAAAGTTGAGTTCAGTTCACGGTGGACTCTTTTCCCTATTATAATAGTTATTACTGATGAAAATCTGTCCTTACCATATTAACTAGGATCCAGCTTTGTTTATCTTTTGCAATGATTACATTTTATTTTTATTTGCTCTGTAGCTCAGGCATCCAAATTTTGTGTAAATGCCAAAGGATTCAATGTTTAAGAGAACCTCAAGCAAAATATAAGTTACTGTTATTAATCATCTGTTGTTCACCGGACATTTTGCATTCATTTATTCTCATTCATTCCTCATTATAGCCCTGTGAAAAGAAAACAGGTAACATTAGAATGTCAGCTCAGCACATCTATATCGAAGGCTCTTATTCATTCTGCTATGCTGGTCAGGTTGTACGACACAAACCATTGTTAACTTCCCAAGGAAGCTCAATATTAAGTAAGTGGAGAAAATCCAAGCATGATTATATGAAAGATTCTGACTTGATTTTTGATATCTGACTGATGACAGCTTTTGAAACTAAACTCTCCCTCCTCCTTTTGTGTCCCGCATCTAAGCAAGCTGATAAGAATGTCTGGGTGCTCTCTTCTTTGGCACCAACAGGGAGTTCATGCCACATGAGGCAACCCTCACCCCAGCTCCACCCTCTAACCACCATAAATACCCCAGGCCAGGCTTCTTTGTTGCCCTTTCAAACCATTTTTGGGTCTACTCGAGGAGTTCTTCCTGCTCTCCCTGCAATGTCTCATCATGTGAGAAATAAACCTTTCCTATCCTCTTGGTGTGTGTGTGATGTCATCAGTCTTGACAGCCAAACCACATTTTGTGTGGGTGTTCGTCTTACTCCTTCATAGTGGCTACAACACTCGTGAAGCACTTAAATGTTTACATTTCAATAAATATATTTCAAAAAAATATTTTCAACCTACTTAATATTAAAACCATAGAATATACCTCATCTCTAAATTGGAGTCTACAGATATAGATATTAGCTAACATAAATGAACCCAAATTCCTTGTGCATGCTGATGCTAACACTGTCCATATTGTCCAATAACTGGGCTAATTTCAATTTTCATTCTCAAAGATGTAAAGATGCTAGTTCGTAAAAGCAGCTTGGAATGTAATTCATGTGAAAACAACACATTTACAAAAACACATTTGGTGTGTGTTTTTTTCCTTGAGGGAATATATAGTTCTTTAGGGAGCTTAGCAATGGTTGTGAAAACAATATAAAATCTGTCAGTATTCTATTATGGCCCTATTTTATACTTTCATTCCTAATAAATATTTTGCACTCATTACTGACTTTTGACTTTGGGTATGATATAAAGAAAACATAAAAGCATGAAATGGTGGTTACAATTTTCAGTTTAAAAAATATCTCTTTAGGGCTGGCTGAGTGGCTCAGTTGGTTAAGAGCTCGCTCAAGAGTTTGAGCTCTGAGCAACAGCGGTTCGAGTCCTGCCCGAGCTGAGCAGCCACTGAGCTGCCAACAGGCAGCAGGATGGCTCAGCTAAGAAAACCTTTTTTTAAATATCACTTTAATGTTTCTCTGGAATAACATCTCTCCTAATAAAAAGAAACGGTCAAAAAGTTCATATTGTTTTTCATGTGAAAAGTACATACTGTCAGAAAATTCTCTCAAATTCTATTAAGCAAAGACAAATAAACTTTTATACATTCTTTGTTTTGTCATTCCATAAATGCATATTTGGTGTTTAAAAAAATTATCAGATAGAATGAGAAAGTTAGTAGAAAGTAAAATATCATACAGAAATTTAGCTGCTCATTTCAGTATTAACAGAAGTCCTGTAACAAAATTCCTGTGCCACATTCAAATATTAATCTCAATGAAAAGAAACACCAGTTTTCAGAAGCCATCTGCTATAAGTTAGCCCCTTGTGGTGGGAGACAATTTTGACTGCCTGTTCTTCCTACCCATGAAGCAACAAATATAAATACGTCTCTGTTCAAGCAAGAATGGAAAAGCCCCTGATGAGAAGGTCCCACTTAACATGAGTATTTAAATTATCTTCCAATTATATTTTTGAAGAACTCATGCACAGTATCTATATCAAACAAGCTAAACAGATTAAATGTCTCCCCTCTGAGAATTTATACTATATCAGACTATATTCAAATGTATGTGCCTCGAGTGGGGTAAATCAGCATGAAAACGGCCATAAAACATGTGTAAATGTGGTTTATGAGGGTGGAACGTTTTAATGCTTCACTTCATCCATTGTTGGGCAATGTTGCCATCCAATAGGCCACTATTATTTACATGCAGCTGCAAAGTGCATCAAGTATAAAAGAGACAGGAATAATATAAAGTCAATGAGCTGCCATAAATATTTTCGATTTACTCATTCAAAATTTTATTAAATAATTGTTATTAATTTTTTAAATGCTTGAGAATAAACGGTGTACAAGGGGCCTGAGCTCAAGGAACTAACAGTCAGGAAGGGGAGCTTGCAATCCAAATGCAGACCTGCAATGTGGTGTGACAAATGCAATGCTAGAACTGTGTACCAGAATGCATTACAAGTACGTAGTTGGCTTTGCTCTAAAGGCTTAAGGAAGCTTCAGAGGACATTTAAGCTTGGAGCACAAGAAAGGGAGTCAGGGAGGAGATGAGAGGAAGGGGGTCAGACATAATTAAGTGGCATGTCCAAAGCACAGAAAAATGAAAGAGTGCAATAGATTCTGGACGATGTGATGAGAACATACTGTCTGGTAAGGGTGGTAAGAGCTGAGATTGCCAAGACTGGTGGAGGCCTTACAGGAGAGATTTCTGGAGGTCCCTGGTATATAATTTTGTATATAAGCATTGGGGGTTGGGGGATGTATCAGTCAGGGTTGGTGCAGGAACCAGAAACAACTCCAGGTATTTTAAGCAGAGATGCCTGTCATACAGTAAGTTAGATTGCAATTTTTTAGAAGGCTTAAGGAGTAGGTCTGGGTTCAGCATTTTGAAATTACACAAAAACAATAAAGAACAGAAAATAGAACTACTGTCTCTGAGGCCACCACTGCCTCTTAATGTACAAGCGTCCACATGATGGACACCGGCTGGCCACTGGAAAAACTTCATATTCTCATGAACTTGCTTTGCCAGCAGCACCATCCAAAACTTTCAGGAAGATGGACTCTGCTCAGTCCTACCTTCCAAATTTCTCATGAGCACATCAGTCCAGCATCTAGCCATCAGAGGAGTTTGGAAAGTTAACTTGAGCTTTCCAATCTTCTCAAATAGAGAAAAGATATGAGACAGTTTGAGTAAACCAACACAGAGTCCAGCCGAAATGGTATTCGGAATTTTATGCAAGTTGTTGTATATTTGATATATTTTATTATCTCTTGTGCTCTTAATATAGAAATACGGACATCACAACAAGGGCACAAATTAGAATAGAGAAGTTTTACATGTATATTTCAGACTTGAGGGATTATTTGCAATATGGGAATTGGTTGCTCGGACAATGAAGAAAAGATAAATTTCTATCTTATATTTAATTGGGGACGCTTAAGAAAGGAGATTCTAAGAGCCCTCTGAAGGAGGAAAAGAAAGTTTCTTAGCAAACAAAAAATAATAATTCATTTCAGTCCTGGAATAAAAGGAGATGAAATTCAGAATAAAAAATTAAGGGTGTCATAAAAATAGACTTGACTGTGACAGTGGCATTGTTAATTTGAAAAGGCAAAATTAGCGGAGGCGATGGGGCACTCCGCGGTGGGTCAGTGCCATTTTACGCAGGAGCCGGTGTTGTTGCCCATGACATGCTATTATTTAAAGTAGTCCCTGCGGATATCTCCCCACACACGGGAACTGGGGTACAGAAACAGTGTCAATACCATTTACTGAAAGAATGTGTCAGCTGGCAAGGAATATTCAACCATGAAAAAATTGCAAGTTTGTGAGTGTGAGGCTAGCGCTGTGTAAGCGAGAGAATTCACTAGAGAAATTTCTCTCACAGCAGCGGGAATGTTGTAGTTAACTTCCTCAATGCTGTGATGACATTCACACACGTCACTCATCTTCACGTGCTCTGAATTGAAAGCCCCTCAGCAGTTTTTGAAAAAAAATGTGCCCTTCTAGTAGCTAAACCTCAGGAAGCATATGCTCTGGATAGGAGTGAGAAGAGGACATCCCCTATTAGAAATATACATATACAAGTGTCCAGGAAAAGGAGGCTGAGAGTCAGATACTGGAGAGGGATGAATGGACCCTAAGAGGTTGATGTCCTAAACAACAGCTCAGTCAGTATGCACCTCCTACACCTATGAAGGAAACCAAGGAAGGGATAGAGGTATTGTGGCGCCCCTTAAGTCATGGTTAAATCAATTATTCCACCGTATGCTCTACCCACACAGGATTTATCTATGCCTTTGATAGGAAGGAACGTCTGGCAACTGTGTATTGAAATATAAAGTGAGTAGAGGGATCTCATCTCTCAGTGTTGGTTTCCTTGTGCAATCTTCCAAGTACATGCACATGTGAAGTCAGCTATTTTATCTTAAATAGTCCATGCTGATCCTATTTTTATTTTTGTCTTATTAGTCACATCTCTATATACCATCATCAGAATGGAATGTGATAGCTGAATCTTCACAGAGCTCTGTTAGAGGAGTTTCTTGTGCATTTGGCAATACTGCATGAAAACAAGCATCATATTTTCTGAGTAACTGCATTTGCTTTATGGAGGCAATGACAAATTATCTAATTGCTTCATGAATGTTTCTTCCACTAATGTTTTCCACAAAATTTGCTGACATTGCCTGTATCATAGTACCACAACACACCCCAATTTCTTTTTCCTTCGTTTATTTAAAAATAAAATGTTTGCTGAATTTTTACTGTTGAAAAGGCACTGTGGAGCACCGAAGATCAAATTTGGTATGAAAAACATGCCTTATGGCTACAGGAAAGAGATAAAGAAAAAACTGAAATAACTTGGGGCCAGCCGAGTGGCGCATTGGTTAAGAGCTGGCTTGGGATGCCAGAGGGCCCCGGTTCGGATCCCACATATGAGGGCCAGTGACGCTGCCCTCTACAACTAAGATGCTGAACAACAGCTCAACCTGGAGCTGGGCTTCCATGAGTAGAAGGCGATGGCATAGGCTGCAACCCCTGCTGCAGTGGGTTGCCATGGGCTACCGTGTGTAGCCAGCAGCCAGTGTGAGTGGCCA